AATTGCAGCCTTGTTGAACTCCGCGCTGCGAAAGAACAACCTCGATCGAACCATCTTCCATTTTGAACAGAAGTTTTGCCTTGGTTCGAGCGTAGTGTGTGTGTGTTTTTATTATTAGCATCGACCGCGCTAACCGGCTGACCAATGAAAAGACGTCAGTCTTAGTGCGGTTGAAAACACAAAACACTTCTATCTATGTTTGTGTGTGTGTGTCCAACCTGCACTATTGCGGGGCACCGCGGTGCCCAACGTGCACTATAGCGGTATCTCCCTCAATAGTGCATGACCTGCACTATAGAGGGCGGTGTCTGTGTCCAGAGATTCACCTGCACTATACCGGGCACCTGCACTATTCAACCTGCACTATAGAGGGCCCAGGTACTGTATTCGGCGTATGATCGGTACCGCAAATAAAGATGGTCAGGAGGTTTCGTTTAAAGGCAAAGGGCGGTAAGGCGTAGTCTATCGAGTCGGCAGCAGCAGTATTTTTGTGTCCATGTTGCCTTAGACCACGGTACAACAACAGCAGCAGCCCGTACTACTGTACTGCTGCAGCGGGCACATAGGTTGCACAAGATAGATAGCACATCCCCCTGGACCGATTTTCAAAGCTCGATTACTCGACAACGAGTAGGATGCCGAAAATAAAGTGTACGTTTTCGGAAAGCTCTCGACGAGTCGCCCGACGAGTCGGCTCCAACGCCGCCATTTTCGGCACACTGTTTTTCCTGTGGAGACCGAGCTTCAAAAATCGGTCCAGGGGGTATGATATCTTATGCAACCTACGGCATGCATACAACATGTAGAGATGTTGGCGTTGCATTCCTAACCTGAGATGCTACATTATCAAGTAACCATGCAGTATGCTGTAGCGACGTGTGTGTTGGTGCGCTTAGGTCTGTCGCTGGGGTTGGGGCATCGGAGAATTCACTGTCGCCGCGACGACGAGCCCAAGGAGCAGCAGTGCATTTTGTGGCATGAGCTGCTGCTGCTGTAGACAACAGCAGTAGACCCGCACTTCAGGAGGCTGTGTGACGACGAGCGCTGTTTTGAAAGATAGTTCCGATTCCCAGACTTTTGGAACGCAGTGGCAACTTGAAACAGCACAGCCCTAAGATCAGCAGATATGAGCATGCCTACATGACCGTTTCGACACTCTATGACGTTCGTCACTGCCTTATCGTTTCAGGTCGGGACCCCGACAACGCGAAGCCCCTTTTCAGCCCCTATGACCCTTGCCCGACACGTTGGCTGTGACGTCTGGCTGCTGCCTGGGACCATGATTTCTAGAACTTTTGTGACTTCGTTTGTGTTGGTGTTTCTCGACCTCTTATTTATTTGCTCTTCAGGTTTTAAACTGCATCGTTTGTAGGGCTGCTGACCTGTGCCCACGAAAGGCATCCCCGTCAGCTGCACCAGTATGGATGTTGAAGGGTTTTAATTCATGGCTACACCCCCCTTTTATTGTCGCGTCCCAACCGCTATTCGCATGATACAACAGGTCAATCACCGCGCACCCTGCTGGCCTGCTTCTGTGCATCTCCAGCACTAATAATAGCGCACTCGATGTTGCTTGTGGAGTTCAACCTCCGGTGGAACCTGAGGATGATGGTCAAGAACCGTGGCTTGCCCGCAGCGCTGGGAGGACACTACAACAAGTATCTTGGGAAGCTGATCCAGCGGGCCACGGGGACTGGGAGTCGAGTTGCCCCGTCCCCCCGAAGTGGCCGGCCGCCATCGACTCCGTAGGCACGGGCGAGAGGGGTTGGCTCGCCAGGAGCTTTTGAGGGTTAGAGGGTGGGGCATGAAGTTTCACGATGATGAGGCGTTGTGTGTTCGTGTGGACGAAAGTACTGATGACAGCGGCCGAACGCTGCTGTCGCACCTGATGCTTTCACGCCAAGGTTGGGCGAAACAATGCCAGAATCGAGGGTCCACACCAGGGCGAGGAGCGCAACTTCAGAGACGACCTGGCGCTGCTGACGGCAGGGGAACAATAGGGGAGGACTTTCACCAGTACCAGCGGGAACACGCTCTCCGTTTCGACCTTCAACACCTCGGGGACGGGGCTGCGTGCGAGGGCTGGGTTGAAGAGATGCAGCCTGGTCTTCTGTTCATATGGGCGTCGCAATTTTCTGGAAGACTGGCCTGACGGGGGAAGGGAGCAGGGGGAGGGAGCGCGGTGTGGGATGAAGACACAGGGGGGGGGCTGAGTCAGTGCGGGGGCTTATGGCCACCACCGTCCGTGCTGCGCCAGCTGCTGGAGCATGGATGCTGATGCTGATGGGGGGGAAGGGGGGCAACGGTGGTGGCAAGCAGCCGCGGAAGGCGAAACGAGAAAAAAACGTACCACATTTTGTTTTGTAGTCATGTGGTAGATTGTTTGTGGGCAAGGATTTGCTGCGTGTACCGTCATTTCTCAGGGTGAGCGAATGGTGTTCTTGTTCTGTTTCTGCTCTGAATGAACGTGTTTTTTTATTATTATTAGCATCGACCGCGCTAACCGGCTGACCAATGAAAAGACGTCAGTCTCAGTGCGGTTGAAAACACAAACACTTCTATCTGCCATGAACTGGGACCCCGTGAGGGGGCAGCATGGGGGAGGCTAAACTATCCTTCGGATCAAAGACAGAAACAGCAGCAACAGGAGAAAACTGCACGCGTCTACCAAGGCTATTACCTTGTACTCGAGCTCGTTTAGTTAGGAGTACTTTCACCATTATCCTCCTTGTTTTCGCTACCATCATTCTGATCCTCATTATTATTATTTTGTTTGCCTTCCGACAATTGCAGATGTACCTCAGAAAACTTTCACTTAATGTCTCATGTTCTGATCCTCATTGTGACAAGAATCTCTGGGCAGTTCTTCCCTAGTCCTACGTTTTTTCTTTTGGGGAAGGTCATCTGGCTCAAACCCTTTGCTGTCTTCCACTCCTCGATGTTTTCCTGCTCCATCGTCGTCTTCGTCCTCCTTTCTTCCTTTCTTTTCCCTTTCCTTCGTCTCCGTCACTCCCAAAAGAATAACCCTCATTACTATTTATTTATTTATTTTTGCCTTCCGACAATTGCAGATGTACCTCATTACTATCGTTGTCACAGAGATCCCAACCGATCGGCCCTGGTGGAAGTTGGTCGATCAGTAGCCCATGACATCTGAACACATCGCGAGTTCGCATCGACAGAAAACGAGCTAGCTCGAAGGTTAACCGTCTCCGAATCCTGTTGGAATGAAACGCTCTCAGGCGAACTAAGGCTCTTTCGTCGTCGAAATTCCCCCGGCAAAAAGCTTCGTACGCGAAGTGGTTGGCGATAGCAACGATGAGTCGATTGGTGCCTTCGTTGAAAAAGCAGCAGTAAGGAGGGTAGATCTAGACGGGTTGAAAGTTCCCGGATGATAGTGATTTACCTTGCAGCTCGATCTTCGAGGGCGGATTCTGGCTTTTGCATCGACTTGTCGATGCTTCGACCTGCGGATGGGTTGACAATTGTTACGTGCTTGTGTTCGTCATCTCATTTATTCTGGAGTTCAGTGTATTTTTTGCACGTTCCGGTATGCTTTTTTTTGGATGCATCATCAGCCGGTGTCAAGAAGGAGGAAGGCCACACAACACGAGATTTCGTGTCTTTTTTGTGACCTTCCTTCTACCGTGTGCTTACTTTCACTTTTGGACACGAAAAGAATTCAGCCGTCGCTTTCCATCGTCGACCGTGAACTCGAACCTGTACCGGAGGGTATTACATGCCATCATCAGGGCTGCTCTGTATTCTACCAACTGCACGCGCGGGGACAACCGTGCGGCCGGTGCGTCTGTCTTCATGTTTTGTCTTTCTGCGCGTAATGTGAATACATGTCAACACGAAGCGTCTTTTCGCCGACCCAATTTCACCGATTTAAATTCACACCTAGACGCTCCGCCGAAGGGACCACTGCAGGAACTCGTGCGTCTTCGACTCGCAGCTTGCGCGACATTTGATTGAGTCAAAATCGTTGTTGCCTCTGGCGACCTTTTGCGTCTATACTTATTCCACAGCAGCAACGGCAGCAGCAGCGTTGTTGCAACGAATTTATCCCTCCATCTTTCTGCTTGAAATGAACCCCCAACTCAGCTACGGCAAGTCAAACACATCAGGGAGTCTAACGCAAAAATCCGCACGGAAAACGAGCATCATCGCGACGCGAAAACGTCTTTCTCTATCCATCTCTCAAAAAAGTTTTTTTTTCCGTTTTGCGAAGGTGTATCGATTCAGGTAAAAGTCAATCGACGGGTACCTTGCGAATCGGGTCCTCCTTAACACTCTCCACCCACAGAATTTACCCTTTACTGGGAACCTCTTGTGGCCAGGATGGGTAATTCGATGGACGTGTCACAAGGTTCTTTCTAGGATCGACTCCAAGAGGTGTTCTCAGGACTGACACACATTGTGTCCATGGGAAAATATCCAAGTCAGGAGAAGAAGTGTGCACCCAAGGAGATTCGAACCAGTATCCAGCTGACGCCATAGTCTATTATGCGAAGGTGTACCGATTCAGGTAAAAGTCAATCGACGGGTACCTTGCGAATCGGGTCATCCTTAACAGTTTTTCTACGGCATCGAGAAGACACGCCCCCTCTTACCCTTAACTCGCGTATTAGTGCGACATAATTTCATTCCCCAGCTGGACCCCTAAAGATGGAATGGGAGCCCCAAATGAGGTTGTTGTTGTTGTTATTCTCACATTTGCTCTATAGCTCACCAAAAATGGGGAGCCCGTGGTCTCAAAACCCGGCACATACATACGACGCTGCGGGGAAAAATAGGGTACAAACCACTCGGAAAAAGAAAACAAAATGCATTCGTCTGAGCTACTCCCCCACCTCTCCTGGTTTTCGGAGCTAGCCGGCAATTCGGATCCAGCCGTTGTGCGATACGTAATCATCTCCGTTAGGATTTGAGGAGGACGGATTCTAAAGCTGTAGAGAAGCACTGCGCCTTTTCGTTCCTTTCTACTGCTGCTTGAGACTGACTTGGGCCCTCCAAAACTCCGACAGGTATGAACAAACTCCGTGTGTGGTCGAATATGGACTGCGTCTTTGTACAANAACATGCCACCATGCACAACATATGCTGCTGCCGTTCACCTGTTGCCGCTCTTCCATGTCTACCTGTCCATGACACATCTGCCACTTGATGCGACAACATCTGGGAACAACACGGACACAGGGAGTACTCCCCCGACCCATACACAACACCGTCAAAACTGCTTGTAAGCTATAATAGAACAACCTCTCATTCCTCTCTTCCCACATGTACTTTTCTCCGCTTTTTGTCTTTTTGTCTTTTTGTCTTTTTCTCTCTTTTTGTCTTTTTCTCTCTTTTCTGTGCGAGCTGGCCTTGTCTCTCTGCTTGCGTTGTGATGTACAAAGATTGAACCAAGGGGTGTACCTCATTCCCTCCGGCCCGTGATGGCGACCCCTAGTCTCAGCTGTTACCTCGTATAAGCGCGCAGAGGGAATGAATGGAGGACTCCAGAATGTCTGTCGTTGATTTATATTGACTTGCGAACCCCTCGCGGCAATTTTATTCGTTGAGTGTATGTAACCTGCAACGACGGGAATCGACCACGTCGAATGTTGGATCAGTACGGACATACGGAGGTACCGGGTAGAGTGAGATCGGAACGGTTTTTATTGTGAAGACAACAGCAACAAGAGCAACAACAACAACAACAACAACAACAACAACAACAACAACAACAACAACAACAACAACAACAACAACAACAACATACAAACGATGTAGATGCATGAAATGATACACTCTGTCTTTACTTATGGTCCGCGCTGCCTATAAATATATGGGAAAGGTAGCTATACCTCCTGCCGACACACGGGCGAGAGAGGCGACCATACCCACTGCATTAAACACACACCCACATGTCAGTGATGAAACCCCAACCACACGCCTCTATCGGCGGCCACGTCAGGAGGCAACGATGAGATAATGTTCTCCCGTGCCCTTCTCACATTGAACGACATGCCATTACACATAGGACGAAAACACACACACATATTCGTGTGAGATCACCGCTTCTACCACGCACGCTCGTGCGTGGTGGAAGGCAGTAGTAGCAGGAGCAGCAGTAGTAGACTGATGGACTGACGTGGAATCGCTTTGCACTTGAGCCTCCAGTCGCATCGGCAATGAGCAGTGTCATGAACCAAGATTTGGTACCACCATCACCCGTACCTGGACCTGCACCACGATGCCCAACGGAAGTACGGTATTCATGTCCCCTCTGCATCAGCGAAGGATCAACGAACCTGACGGCGAGGAATCTGACTACACACCAAAAACGTCAGCATAAAGGTCAAGGAAAGGAGCTACTACTCAATTTGTCTCCTCCTGGATCCTTGCGCTCGAGCAGCCAAGCACCTGGTTACGCCACATGTGGCACATGCGGCGACCTTTTCTCTCCACGCACCAAGCATTGTTGCGAACCAGGTACTACATCGTCTCCATCTCTATCTAGGTCGTTGCAGCCACCGCAAGAGGATGACATATGATGACGATAGGCGGTAACTCCTATTACCGTGGGACCTCAACGACGTCAGCAGTGCCCTGGATCAGGTTCGACAAGATACTCTTGAAACGTCAATTTTTTCGACAGTCAAACACGTCGATTCGCAACTGGCTAGGGTATTTTGCAAACACTTCCAACATGTCGTCATCCTCTTCGTGCAAGCATTTGGAGCTGTACACATGGATCAGCAGAGGTCAGATACCTCAGATCTGTCTCCTCTTGGAGCGGAAAGATATGAAGTAGCACGTGTTGAAAGACAACTCCAACTTGTCCGAGCAACAAAGTTGCTTCATCTTACCTCCGAGCATTGCATGGATCGACTGATGGAAGGATGAACAGGGTATCCCGATTTAACCGCTTTGCATGATGTGATCTGAGTGAACCTATCGCCTGGCTCATGATGTACGAGAAGAATCGTCGACTTCAGTATTTCGCGGATGCTGAAGACAATCACCAAAGACGAGCCACAAGACTTGCGCATGAAAGAGGAGGCATCACGAAAGCTGCCAGTGCCTTAATCTCCCCAGCACCTTCACC